ACCACGATCCCCATGGAAGAAAATTATCATTTATTAACGAGCTCCTAGCGAGTTTATAATTTTGCGGTGTCTGTCCGTCTGTCCGTCCGTTAGCACGATATCTCGATAACGAATGGAGCGATTACGATAAAATTTTGTAGGTGGATTCTTTACGAGATTCTTTATCAAATTTGTAGATCGGAGTTCGTGAACTGGCAATGTAACTCAAAAAATAAGGAAGGCCCTTTTGACATCTTCGTGAGTTATGAACCGAATTGCATGAAATTCAATATGCGTATAGCTTTAGCCATATAAAACGCAATTCCAAAAATTGAGCCTAATCGATCAACATTCACAATGCTCTTTTCGCATTTCGACCATTTATAAACCGAATTGCAAACTTTTTTATTTATGAAGGATTTAAATGAAATTTGATACATAACCACTTGGAATAAAAGCAAATATAACGCTAGTTTCAAAATTTGATTTTGCGCATGCGCAGTGCCAACTTTCTTATTTATGGAGGGATTTAAATGAAATCTGACACATAGCCACTTTGAATAAAAGCAAATATAACACTAGTTTCAAAATTTGGTTTTCCGCATGCGCAATGCCAACTTTCTTATTTATGGAGGCATTCAAATGAAATTTGAAACATAACCACTTGGAATAAAAGTAAATGTTGGAAAATTAGTAGTTGTGATAAGTTTTTCTTAAATATTTAAAAAACTATACTATTTAGCGCGAAATAAAATAAATAATCTACAGTAAATTGCGAACAAAAATGGCCTCATATATAATCTTGCTAAATTGAACCATTCCAGAGTTACGGAGGGTGTAACAGTAGAAATTTTTCATCTTTTTTTTAGATTCTTTTGGAAAAAATATGAGATTATCACTAAGGAAACTATTTTTTTTTGTTAAAACCGGTTAAAACAAATTGCGCTTTAGTGACCGGTGGTATGTTACTGATAAGTCCTTGAAGGAACGATAACCTTACCACCTTCTCAAGGGGGGCCATTTTTTCAAGAGACTTCCACTATGAGGGACAGTAATTCCTGGGGAGTTGCAGGATGTGTTGTTATTGCTCTCAGGTGTTCGACAATCTTGCATTCCCACTTCATCGGGTTCTTCTTCTCATGCAGCCACTGCTGCACCTGATGGTAAGTTCTAAATGAATGTTCTACCTGGTAGCTGCTGAAGTGGGGAGAAGCGCAGCCAACTTGAACAGTGAATGTATAGGATGCTTTGAAATAGCTTGCAAGTAACACTGGTAACGAAAACAAGCCAGATCTTCAGTGTTCTTTACTTCAAACATGATTTCATTGTTCCAGAAAATCGAAAAAATACGAAAAATGCCTACTTTTACACCCTCCGTAACTCTGGAATCGTTGACTTGAGCAAGATTATACACAAGACCATTTTTATTCACAATTTAATGTAGATTATTTTGGATATGGTACTTTTCTCGCCAAACCCAATAGTTTTCTAAATATTTAAGAAAAACACCAAAAACTACTAATTTACCAACTGGTGTAACTTTTTACCAAACAATATATGGACTGTATAGAACAATTTGCAGTTAATGGGAAACTTTTACTTTTGATGTTTAGGTTAAGCCGTTTTGTCGACTAATTGCACCGTACTATACCTGGTACTGTATTATGAATTTTTAATTTTAAAATTTCCGTATTAGGTACTGTTTCTTGCGAAATTTTTCTGTTTTGTGCTCTACTCACTAAACAATTCTTTTTGTAAGTCACAGTATTAATTTCACTACCACAGTATTGCGAGCTAAACGTATATACTTATGTGTAATTTCCGTAGCTAACTAATCTTTATGGTGCAAATAAGGCATATGTATTTTATATGATTAATACACTCCATTAATATACGACCAATCAGCTAGGTGATTGTTTCAAATTCTAA